TCGGTGGGGCTGGGGCAGGTCGGGCAGGGGTTGGATGTGGGATTGACAGAGGCACCAGAGGCGTTGGCATGTTGCGGTCGATGACTCTCCCGCAGTGCCCTGCGCCTCTCGGCTCATTCTTTAGGGGGGTGGGGCCTGTCATGCAATGACAGGCTCTGTCCTTCCACCCTCTTTTTTTGCCCTCGTTCGCGAGGCGAATCTCCTCACATCTGGTCTGCTGCGAGCGCCATTTTTTGCGCGGGCCCTCCTGGTGGCGGAAGTGGCAACGGGTTGCGACGCCCTTCGGGAGGCCGAAAATGAACCCAAGCGCCACCCAGCTGGGACCCGCTCTCCCTCTGTCGATGCGTTCGCGTCGACCGAGGTCGAGGTTGGCGGTCGGACGGACCTTCTTGGTTACGTCGTCTCCTCCTCTCCTCCTCCTCCGCCTCCTCTCCTCCTCCTCCGCCTCCTCTCCTCCTCCTCCTCCTCCTCCTCCTCCTCCTCCTCCTCCTCCTTCCTCCTCCTCTTCCTCATCCTCCTCTTCCTCCTCCTCTTCCTCCTCCTCTTCCTCCTCCTCCTTCTCCCTGCTCTTCCTTCTCCTCCTCCTCCTCCTCCTCCTCCTCCTCCTCCTCCTCCCCCTCCCTCCTCCTCCCTCCTCCTCCTCCTCCTCCTCCTCCTTCTCCTCCTCCTCCTCCTCCTCATCATCATCATCATCCTCCTCCCGCTCGCACTTTTTTACTTCGATCGGACCTGAAGAGCAAGCTCGTGGTGTTGGTGGTGGTGGTGCAATGAACCAATCGCCGACTGAGGCGAAGAAGCAAACATATTATTCTGGAGTGGCGAGCGCTGCGGGAAGAGAGGTGCGAAAAAGATGGGCGGCATACAGAGGCCCCTCAGGGGCGCAGAGTAAGCGCTCGCCGCCAGCATCCTGCTCGCACTCCTCCTACGCCTCCTGTCGCTGTCGGCTTCGAAGTTCGGATTGATCGACGCTCCTTCAGACCCTGCTCCGAATGAGATCCGACGTCGCAAACAAAAGCAACAACATCGCAAAAATCACCATCGGAGCCCTGCACCCCATCTTCCTACGGCAGTTCTCGAGCCGGATCGATTTGTGGTGTCCCCAGGCCCGAAACCGGGCGGAAACGCTTGGTGCGAAAAAATTGCGACGCCGGGATCTCAGGGTCCTCCTTCTGAATGCCTGAACGCCTGAAGGCAGAAACGTCGTACTGGCGTCGCCCTCCCCCCTTCCAGGGCCGGTCGACCCTGCGGGGTTGGTCAAACTCAGCGGTCCTGGCAAATGTCATCGCCTGCTGAGTAGAGGTAAGACTGCAACGAGGGTCCTCCTCCTGATTCCTGATTTCTGCCGGTATTGGTGTTCTCCGAACGCTGCCGCTTCCCCAGGGCTGACCAAAAGCCAACCTTGGGAGCGCATGATATAAAAGTAGAAAGAGGAAAAGTAGAAAGAGGCGGCGGATGCCACTGGATATGCTCCCCATGGGCTCCCACACAGGGCATGCGGCCACTCGCGGCGTGGCAGGGGGGTCGCGGGGCCGTCGTGGGGGCCGTGGGGCAAGGGGTTGTGAGGGTGTGAGTAGTAGGCGCACGTTGGGATGTAGGGAGGCAGGCTCCTCCTCTTCCTCCTCATCTTCCTCCTCCTCCTTCTAAGGCCATTTTGGCTCAAGTTTGCGGCTCTGAATCACATTGCACATGACGGGGGCCTCGTTGAGCACAAGATTGCGGAGGCCTCGATCAAGAGAAGCTCGAGTCACAGCAGACATCCGCGCGTGCGGAAGCAAGAAGCAGTGGAGCGCAGCGCTGAGATTGCTCGGCGACGCATCGCAGCAAGCCGTAAAAGTCGACGCTGTCCTCTACAACGCGGCGATCTCTGCATGTGGGACATGCGGGCAGTGGCAGCACTCGTTGTCGCTGCTTAGGGAGCTAGCCAGCTTGAGGTTGAAGCCGAGCGTCATTAGCTATTGCGCCGGGATTAGCGCGTGCGAGAGAGCCAGGGAGTGGCAACATGCGCTTGAGCTGCTCCGCGAAATGTGGACAGTCAAGTTAGAAACCAGCGTCATTAGCTACAACGCTGGGATCAGCGCGTGCGAGAAAGGTGGGCAGTGGCAGCGGGCGCTGGCTTTGCTGTATGAGGTTCAGGAGGCGAAGCTGGAGCCAGACATCGTGAGCTACAGCGCGGGGGTAAGTGCGTGCGAGAAGGTCGGACAGTGGGAGCAGGCGATGATACTATTAAGGGAGGCCCGTGACGCAAGATTGGTTCCCGATGTCGTGAGCTACAGCTCTGGAATCAGTGCATGCGAGAAGGTGGGGCGGTGGCAGCAGGCGTTGTCACTGCTGCGCGAAATTGAGAGTGTGAAGTTAAAACCGAACGTCGTGAGCTACAGCGCAGGTATCAGTGCGTGCGAAAAGGGCGGGCAGTGGCAGCCAGCACTGCTGTTGCTCAGGGATTTGCTGGAGGCGAGGGTGGAGCCGAACATCATCAGTTACAGCGCCGGGCTCAGCGCGTGCGAGAAAGGTGGACGCTGGGAACAATCGTTGTTATTGATGAGAGAGCTGGTTGAGAAAAACTTGGAGCCCAACCTTGTCAGCTATAGTGCTGTGATAAGCGCGTGCGAGAAGGGTGGGCTGTGTTTGCAGGCAATTTCGCTGCTCCGCAAAATACAAACTGGAGCCCAAGGTAATCAGTTACGACGCTGGGATCAGCGCCTGCGACACAAACGGGCAGTGCCAGCAGGCCTTGTCGTGAATCAGAAGATCAATCGGAGGTGAAGTTGGAGTCAAGCGTCATCAGCTAAACCTCTGGAATCAGCGCCTGTGTGAAAGGTGGCCAGTGGCAGCATGCCTTGTTACAGGTTCGGGGAAGTATGGAATGTGGAGTTGGAGCAGAAGTCACTAGCTACAGCATTGGAGTCGGCATGTGCGAGCAAGC